ACAGTGTTCTGTGCATTAAAGGCCATCGTGCACGTCAGCTGCGGTGAGAGCCCCCCCCGCTTTGCAGAGCCCGGCCGGGTTTACGATTTCAGCCGTCGTAAGAAGGGTGCCAGTCCTGACTTGGGATTTCATAGAAACGTGCATTTGTCACAGACGCATCTTTGGTCAAGGTTCTCCAGCGTTTGTGCACGTGACCCCGTCACCTCGCCGAGCCAAACAACTGGCCTCTCTCGGGTTTTGCGGTTGCCTGCGGTTGTAACTGAAGCTTGAACCCTGCTTTCCTTCACCTTACCCCACCGCCATCGCAAGATGCTAACTGTAAGCCTGAGCTCAACCTTAACAGTCGGGACATTTCAGGATTTTAGCCGAATAACGAGCAAGAGTGAGAATAAGCCCTGTGAGCTGCGCTGGCTAGTTAGCGTCCTTCTGAAACGTGTAGCTTTTTAAGTCTCGGTTTTTCTTTAAGGTTTTTAAAATTGATTTATTTGGGGAAAGAGAAGGGGAGAGGGGGAGAGAGAGAAAATCCTAAGCAGGCACTGCGCCGTCCGTGCAGAGCCCCATGTGGGGCTCGAACTCCCAAACCGTGAGATCGTGACCTGAGTCAAGATCAACAGTCGGACGCTTAACCGACTGATCCACCCAGGCGCCCCAAGTTTCAGTTTTGATCAAGACGACCATTTCTCACTAGTAAGACCTTAAGATGCCAGTTTATACAAATGGAAACATTGTTGTAAGAAGCAGTCAAATATCACCCTTGGGAAGGTGCTTGGGGTGTGTGTGCGCGGAGAGGGAGGGAATGGCCCCGGCACACAGCCAAGCTCTCGGTGCAGGCGAAGCCGCTTCGTGAAGCGGGGTGCGCGCCAAAGCCAGCGGGCGCACCCCCCCCGCAGACGACAGACTGCGTCCCGGCTGCGTGCACAACTGCCAGAATCCGGAAGACAGCCGAGTCATTCTTCGCCGACGGTAGAGCGGCGAGCGGCGACCCGCCCTGCAGTCACACGCCGAACACAACACGGCTCGAGACCGCCACACGGACGCCTCTCGGGACGTCGGGCTGAGCCACGGCGAAGGCTAAATGCCGTCGGCTGGCACGTGTAGGAAGCGTGAGCAGGCAGCACTAAGGCACGGTGACAAAAGCGAGGCACCGCGAGCCAGCGGGGCCGTGGCCGTGCGGCCTCGCATTGGTGTGCGGGGTCTGCTCGTGAGAGCCGCCTGCCACACCTCCGGGAATTTTGTGAGCCCGTTGCTAAAGCCATCGGTAAAAATTTTAATTCTCGGGGCGCCTGGGTGGCGCAGGCGGTTAAGCGTCCGACTTCAGCCAGGTCACGATCTTGCGGTCCGTGAGTTCGAGCCCCGCGTCGGGCTCTGGGCTGATGGCTCAGAGCCTGGAGCCTGTTTCCGATTCTGTGTCTCCCTCTCTCTCTGCCCCTCCCCCGTTCATGCTCTGTCTCTCTCTGTCCCAAAAATAAATAAACATTGAAAAAAAAATTTAAAAAAAAAATGTTAATTCTCTAAGTTACACTGGAAACAAAGGTAGTGAGTACTCGACTCGTCACTCGCTGCCACCTGTCCCTGTGTTCCTGGGCCACCCCCTCCCATGGCGTCCGTACAGCGGGCGGACCGTCCGACCGTAACTGGCTCCCCGGGCTGCCCAGTGACGTCGCATCGGCAGCTTGGAATTCTGCCATTTGGGGAGTATTTACACCGCGGAAATTATCAAACGCTACGAGCCAGCCCCTGTGCCCCCCAACGAGCTAGCTGAACGTTTACTTTCGTACCACTGAATGATAGAAATGACAGAGCTCGTTGAGTTCACTCAGAATTGGTGTTCCTCATGTTTTACCTCAATAAACATTTTTTTAAGCTATGAAATTAGTACTTGAACTCCTTTCTAGGTCTCCAGTTTTGTAGGTCTAAATGCCGTTAACCTTTGAATTTTAAATTTTTTTCACGTTTATTCATGTTTTGAGAGACAGAGAAAGTGCGAGCAGGGGAGGGGCAGAGAGAGAGGGAGACAGAATCGGAAGCGGGCTCCAGGCTCCGAGCTGTCAGCGCAGAGCCCGACGTGGGGACTCGAACCATGGACCACGAGATCATGACCTGAGCCGAAGTCAGACATTTAACTGCCCGAGCCACCCAGGCTCCCCAGTGCCATTAACCTTTGGGCCTGATGTCTATGCGGTGGCCCAATGAGCCAGTAAACTCGCATCAAAACCACGGGTCATTAGTGAGCTATCCGCCGGTATTTTCACACCCAACTTCCCGTGTGTTCGTGATTCCAGGGCTGGGGCTCTGCAGACCCGGCCCCGCGGAGCCAGCCTCTCCCTTCAACACGAAACACGGGTGCTCCCGCAAGGCGGGAGGGTGCTTCCTGCTCCTGGCCGCTTCCTGCAGCAAACGCTCCAGCAACGGCAGGGCAGTGGATTGCAGTTAGATTTTGCAGCCCGGCCCGGGGCCAGCCGCCCGCAGGTGCCTCCTCCCCTCCGGGCTCTGGGACAACCCCCCCCCCCCCCCCCCCCCCCCCCCCCCGCCCCACCTGCTGCCCATTCCCCACTCCCGGCAGCAGCTGCGACTCCCCGTGCCTACGGGATCGAACAGAACAGCCAGGTGCTTCTCGCCTGACTGGCCCCGACCTGTGCCAGCTGGGCCGAGTCCGTGCCTGCCCCGCGCGCAGGCTCAGCGGCTCTCAGGACTTGACCTCCACGGCCCCGCCTTCTCCCAGACGCTACTTTTCTGGCCCTTCCTCTGCAGGCAGCGCACAGTGTGGCTG